CCTTTATGAAGAACGCAATGTGTTCCCTAGTCACCCATAGAAATAAGCTCAGGAGAGACCCAATGCATATCTTAATAATCATCCATAAGTGCATTCATTCATTCATTCATTCATTCATTCATTGAATAAAGATATACTGAGCACCCACTGTAGGTTAGGCTTTGGGATACTGGAGATATAAAGTTGAAAGCAAGTCTCTCCCCTCAATGAGCTCACTGTCGGCACAACAACAGTGACACACAACAATACTGTCATTGTTGTATGCTGATCAATGCTAAGTGGGGACGCAGAACTTTCGGAAGTTCTAGTAAGTCTGCATGGAGGATCATAGAGAACAGACAGGAAAAGGAAAGAATTATTACCTGGATGTCTCCTACAGGAAGAGTAGAAACTTGCTTGGGTGATAAACACATAGAGGACACTCCAGAAAAAGACCACATATTTTTAGTTATTGTGATAAGTAAATGTTATGTAAAAGAAAATTATCATCCCATCATTTCTTCAGAGTTGTTCATCTTATTTGGCCAAGGATTTATATGATTTTAAAGTGTTATCATGAGCATTTATTGGCACCACAGAGTGAAATTTGACCTTTTCACCCCAAGTGTGTCTCTAGCCAGGCTGCCTCATCATCATCACTGGGCGCCTTCGTGTCCTTCAGCAAATAATGTGGCCTTACTGCCTGGCTCTTCCTGCCTTATCAACACTATATGTCTTTGCTTTACTTTCCATTCCTTGGTCCAGTGCAACAGCTCTGATGTTAATCTCACTCTTTTCTACTCCTCACGGCTGGAAAGAAAGAGAGGTAGAACAGGAGATGGCTCCACTTTTGGGTCCTTCATAACTGCTTGGCCTGTGTAACACCACATTTAAGCTCTCTGATTAATGTATTCTTGTCCCCTTGGGTCAGCTACCCTCTGATCAGATTGGAAAGACTGTCCTGGTTCCTGTTCCCTCGGTCTTTTCTCTCACTCTGCATATGACAAGGTGATATTCAGGTGGGAGGGCTCAGTTTCTTGTAAACTTGGCTCTCTAATTTTGTGGGGGATGTAAAAGACCTTCAAAATTTTTTCATGTTCGCAACCACTAAGGGTACGTGAGGAATAGTAGAGAATATAGGTGTAGCATAAAGGTTACAAATAATGTCCAGTTGCTAACAGAACAGCTGTAACTCTACCCATTCTCTCCTACTTTAAAAAAAAAAAGCATATTAAAAAGAATATAAATTAGGGTAAGTTTTAAATAGATAAGCTTGACTCTACCATAGTTAATTTATAGTTAACTTATGCAAAAACACTAGCATTTTAAATATTAATAATGTTATCTATTATTAGAGCCACCTCTCCAGTGGTTATCCCATGCCAGCCAACCTCACACCATAGCTGGTTGTATCAGGAGACACAGTGTTGGTCTGTCCGACCTTTTCGGCTGCATTCTGGTGTTTTTCGAATCCAAAAGCCTTATCTGCATGGTATATAGAACAGTGACAGTGCTTGCTTTATGCCACGGCCATGTAGATGGTGGAGTGGTCTCTTAACTGAGAGAGACTGAGAGTGATTGAGAGAGTAGAGCTAAAGCTTAAAGCTCTAAATCATTTCCTACTTCCATTCGGAAGAAGAGTGAGAAGAAGGTGATCAGAGAAAAGGAGGAACGGGGTTTACAAATATTGAATGCTTTAACCCTCAAGCCCACTCCATAAAATAAGTGCTATTATTACCCTATTTTACAGGTTTGAGAAAGGTTAATAACTTAACTGAGAGCACAGGGTTAGTTAAACAGGACCGCCTTGAACTCTGAGATTTCTGGTTCCAAGTACAGTTCCTGGAAAAGCATGCATCCTGAGGAACGTTTGTCCTCAGTAAGAATCCACCATTAGGGTCTAGTCTTCCATGTTATTTTATTTCTAAATGTCTCCAGATACCTGACCAAAGCCCAAAGGATGGGAGTCAGTTCATGTCCCACTTTCACTTTTTTAAAATTAAGTTTATTGGGGTGACACTGGTTAATAGGATCATACAGGTTTCAAGTGAACATTTCTATGATACGAAATTTGTATATTGCACTGTGTGCCCACTACCCAAAGTCAAACATCGTTCACTTTTGGCTGCTCTTACAACTTCACCCAAATATATACACATATATCCTCCCACGACAGGCTTCCACTGTCCAACAAGCCCCAAATAGGCTGATGCTCCTTTCCTTAACATTAATAAATAAGTGATTAGAAACCCAGACAGGTCTTAAAGTCTATTGTTCTTTATTATATGGCTGTTATACTACTAGTACAATAGGAAAGAGTAGCCTCAGTAGCTTCGATAAATAAAATAACCAACCAAATCTTTAGTGTTTTTATATTGCTAAACAAATAAAATTTTAATCAAAATGTCTTCTATAACTATATAGTGTGATTTTTCTAAAAAATGAAAGGCCCTCTCTTTTTGAGTTGACAAATGGGTATTTTTATCATGATTGTGTGGCAGTAGAGATAAAATACGTGGACTCTGGAGCCAGAATGTAAGGATTTGGAATTTGATTCTGCCCATTTCCAAGAACAATTACTTGGAATCTCTAAACTTTAGTTAAATAAGCTAATATTTAGAACAGTGTCTGGTATGCACCCAATAAGTCTTAGCTGTTATTAACCCACAGGGAGTATTTGCTACAAGCAATCCCTCTAACTTAATTGAGAATTCTTGTAAAGCAAGAATGCCTAATCTACAATTGCCTCCAAATGTCATGAAATTTTAATACGAAACTTAACAATTAATGAAGATGATATAATGGTACACTTTGGAGACATTTAATTAAACATTTATTGTTTCAATCTTACAGCTTTTAGTATTCTGAGCCCATTTTTTTTCTTTCTGCTTTCAAATATTTTTATTGGCCCTTGAAAACTTCACAGGCCCTAAGCACCATGTCTGTAGGGCTTGAAGCATAGAATGGCCTTGGCTAAGGTGAATGGGGTAGATCTGAATGCTACCTTTCTGGCCCCAAGTACTATTCCTCTGATAGTCTGCCCCCTGGAGAACATTTTTCCTCAGCAAGAGTTTGAAAAGGTTCCCAGAAGTTTTGGAAAATTTTCTAAAGAGGGATTCAAAGATAAGACAGTAAAGCAAAATCCCAGATATCATTGAAAGTCAAAATTATTAAATTACTTTGGCTTAAATTCAGAGTTTATACCAAAACCTAGGCCAAAGCTGGCCCTGTGATGAGGCATGAATAGGAGAAAGAGTGATTGGCAGAGGGTTGGAGCTGGCACTGATCCTACAGGGAACATCCTTTTTCAAAAAGTGGAACGGCACCTGAGAGAACATTATCATGTGATTTCATTTCCAAAATATTCCGTCTTAGGTGACCAGAGGAAAAAAAATTAAACTTTTACCTCAATATATAAAGTGAACAAAATATTTAATATTTCAAAGGGAATTAATTTCAAGTATTATTATTTAAAAAAAAGAACCTGTAAGAAGAAACATAAGAAGTGTATGATAACATTGTAAAAATTTAAGGCAATGGTTCTCAAGGTGTGGTGTACAAGGGGTTATGAGAGCAAAATACTTCAAAATGATATTAGGGCACTATTTGACTGCTTAACCATGTGGACATTTGCATTTTGCAAATTGCATTGCAAAAGCAATGGTGGGTAAAATTTAGCACTAACCAAAGCAGTGGCAGTAAACTGTACAAATAGAGAGGGGGAGGGAAAAGAATACTAGGAAACGCCAGTTTAGCTCTAGAATGTCCTTGATGAAGCAGTAAAAAATGTTAATTTTATTAAATCTCAGCCTTTCAGTATGTCTTCTTAATATTATGTGTGATGTAATGGGAAGTACACATAAAGCACTTCTGCTGGTTGCCAGAGTATAGTTGTCGTCTCCAGGAAAAATACTTATCTGAGTTACATACTGAACTAGCTGCTTTTTTCATGGAACATAATTTTTAAAAACTTTTTTTAATTGATTTTTTAGAGAGAGAGAGGGAAGGAGAGGGAGAGAGAAAGATCAATTTGTCCTTCCACTTATTCATGCACTCATTGCCTGATTCTTGCATTTGCCCTGACCAGTGATCAAACCCACAACCTTGATGTATCCGGATCACCCTCTAACCAACTGAGCTACCCTGCCAGGGCCATGGAAAATCATTTTTACCTGAAAGAAAAAACTGGCAGCAAACTATAATATTCATATTTGGGTATTTGGCAAGCATTTTGGGGGGTTAAAATGAATATAAGGACCCTATCATTTTAAGGAAAACAACCTACAAGCTTAATTCATTTCAAGCTTTTCGAGCTAAAATTAAAATTTTGGAAAATTTTATATGCTGCCATGAGCTTGGCCTCTTCCCAGTACTCAAAGGCTATTTTCTTCACATATGTCAACCAAAACGGCATCTCACAATAGATATAATACAGAAGCAAAATTCAGGTGTCTTCTACTAATCCAGGTATATAACCATTTGCAGATATCTAAATAATGTCACTCTTATTATTTTCTTCTTTTGGAAAATATAATTATTTATGTTAACATGTAATGGTTTTATTATTTTTTATTTTAATAAGTTAATATCCTAAGACTTTCTTAGTTTTAATTTCTAATATGGAATATTAATTGATACAACCCATATAAACAAAAGTTCTGTGGTTCTCAATTTTTATGAGGGAAAAACAGTTCTGAGACCAAAATTTTAGAATTACTGGCCTAAGGTTAAATATATTCTAAACCAGCAGCCATTGTGACATCAGCATCAGGTCAATAATCACCATATGAAGGAATCCATGCAGTTGACCATAATTCACAAGAGCACTCCAATTACACTCTCATGTAAGAAGCCAACCAACTAAGAGCGCCTACTATTGCCCCTGATGTTCTCCACAGGGCACTCTACAATGTTACCAGGAAAGACATCCAACAAATAGTAAGAGAAAACCACTTACTTCTTACATTGCTTCTTTCTCTGATTCTCATCAGGTTTCCCAGCATCTTGCCTCATTGTAAAATATGTACAAACTTCAAACCAAAAGGATAAATGCTGCTGCTGGGCAGATGTGGACTTCAAATCTCTCCAAAATCAGACAATCTCTTAAAAATGTTTACCATAAATGTAAGAACCATCACCCATATTCAACTAGAAATCCAACTATGACTTCCTATGGTTGTGATCAAGATGACATTAGTACTGATGAAGAAATGAGTGTTATAGGAATGCTCCAAGATATTAAAACTGCCCAAATTGACCTCCTCTGGAAAATGACTGACACTGTCAGTGCAGTATCAAAAATCCATGGAAAGACTGACTTTTATCAGAAGCAAATGGAGGCACTAGAAACCAGAATGAATGTTAATGAAGACAAACAATGTGCAATAACTAAATATATCTTCTCTATGAAAGAAGACATTGATGCTTTAAAGAAGAAGGTAACAGACTTGGAAAACCAGAATTCTTGCTCCAGTATACATTGTTCAGAAGTTCTGGAAGGAGAAAGGGGTAAAGAGGTTATGGAACTGCTTCACAAACTCATACAACCACAACCTTTGAAGAACACATTGGCTGCCACAGACTCTGAAATCTCTTCAGCAGAACCAGAGAAAGTGCCAAGTTATTCTGATCCCACTAATCATCTTGAGGAAAAAACAATTTCTCCAAAAGTTAAAATTCTGAAGCAAAGTAACCGTCAAAATGCATTAAGAAGCTTTAAAAAAACAAAGTCAAATATTTATATTTACCCAGACTTTAGTACATGGATCAAGCTAACTTTTGTCCATGGAGGAAAGTGGAGATTTTTTCTCAGTGCTACCAAGTTAGAAGAATTTATCCAGTGGCTCCTTTCTAGGCCAACCATCTCTCCTGAAGAACCACAACTCATAACCCAGCGGTTGTGTCCATTCTCTAGGCCCATTGTGAGCTTGACCACAATCTGTCTCTCTGTTTTCAACTACATTTACTGTCTTTTTGGGTTTTCAAAGGAGGAAATAACTCAACTATAGAGTTATATTCTGCTTTGCTTGGCAAAAAATAAATGTAATCTCATGGCTCCAAGCATTCACACATCTTTGTAGTGAATTCCTTGGTAGTTTGCTCACTGCGGGCCCACAAAGTTCCTATATGTCTACAATAAGTTAAGGTATATCATCCCATTGGACAGCTGTGGTGCATATTCTGTCAGTGTTCTTTTTTTCTTAGGCAAAATTCATGAGGACTCATCAAGTGCCCCTTTCACAGATAATTGGAAGCAAAAATAGAGGGGCTAAGGGAATGAGAAACACATTTGTTTCAGTTTTCTATCCACTCTTATCTTAGTGGCCCTTGTAGATAAGATTTGTGATACCAGAGACAGACTCTACTAACAAAATTTTCAACATCATAGAGTGAAAAAAATATCCAGTATCAAGGCTACTAATGTTAGAGCTATAGAAATGAAGAGCATTGAAAAGACAAAAAAATATATTCATTCCAAAAATGGGGTTTTTCTTTCAACTTCAGCTTCATCTCTATCAAACAATTAGAAAAGGGAGAAAAGGATGAGTATAGTACTGGGTATTTTTTACACTTTCATGAAATGAGACAAATATAGTGTCTTATAGGTTTGCTATAGAGGAAAAGGGAAAAATTTAAGGAGGGATTTGCCATCCAAGTTAAACTTCAATACTATACTACCATAGATTCTTAGATGACAATGTCTTTTTTTGTATAACCATCTACTACATATCCAGGGGCGGCTTCATTTTTAGACATAGTAGGTGGTTGTCATAATAATGTAATTTTTCTAAATATCATGCAGAATAACTGCAAAAAGATGTTTCCTTCACCACATAACTCAGTTAATGAAATCTACCAATAGAGAATCATATGCTGTTAAATTACAAATATTCGTGGTAAATGTACTACTTCAAGTTATTCCCAGGTAATAACTTGAAAGGGCTTTTGGCAATTAGCTAAGAACAACCCACTTTCAAGTAAGGAAAGAGGTACTAAGGTGGGTATAAAGGAAATTAAGGGAGAAGCATGTTGAGAAAACACAATATAGTATTGTCTGGTACCAGTCTGGCGGTAATTATATACTACAACTCTTTTCATTTACAAATGCATTTCATTTGATCCTTCTTTACAAATTTACAGGTAATATGTGTACACAAATAATTTTTAAATATGTCAACATGCTATAGGTGCAGCGTGGACCATACAGTCATATACCTACTTAAAGCAGACTATATATTAAATGGGTTTGTTTTAAATGGGATAACCATGTGAATAAAGTATCATTTTGGAAAAGGCACCAGCAATCTCCATGTATTTGCTCACTGTCAGAAATACCCATAAAGAACAGCCAGCGTTCTAGTTCAGCACATTGGGTGTGGCCCTCACATCAGAGAGTGACTGGGGAAGGTAGGCCGCAACACCGGCAACCAACATCGCAAGTGGGTTCTGAGAGAGTGAAAAGTGACTCAGCTGGTATTTGCTGGGTCATCCGAGCCTCTGTATGTTCACATGCATGCTTTCACTTTTCTTCCCCTTACAGGCACCCTCAGCACGTGCTTATTGTTTCGACAGAGGCAAAGAATTTAGGGAAAGAGCACAGGGCTGGGAATCAGAAGACCTTTGTTCTAAACAGTCTTAAATCCTAGACTTACAAGCTCTATAGTCCATCTCAACTAGGTTTGTTTTGTCATCTGTAAAAAGGAAATCCTTCTATTAACTTAGTAAATACTTCTTCAGTGTTCAATAATGGTGAGGGGTCATGGAGAATAAAAGAAAAAGTTGATGTCCCCTGTGCTGTAGACACATGACACTGAATAGGATAAATAGAATGTGTGCACCCGTAACTCTAATGCGTGACAGATGGGGATGGGCAGCAAAGAGCAAAATAAGGAGTGCTGCTGGTATCAGGGGAGAGAGGGTGATGAGCCTTGTAGTAAGGAGAGGGGGCGGGGGTGAGGGTGGTGTACCGGGCTGAAGGGGAAATGATCGAGAGCACAGGAGTGGGACCTGGAGGGAATGTGGGAAATCAAAGCCCCCAAGTATTTTATAAAGATAAAGTACTGACAGTATTATTTCAACCCTTCTATGGGTCTCATATTTCTCTTCAGTGATCCCCATCATGTCCATTTTAACCTGGCTTTTACCTACATAAGAACGTTAGGGGAGGAGAAGGGGCGTAGGACGCCACACGATTTTCTCAGCCTCAAACTTTCCCTGAAGATAACTGTTTGTCCTGCCAGTTTTCCCAAGGTCCCTGTGAGGAAAGGGGATTTTGCTTTTGAGTCAATTATTATCACCACTTAAATGAGGTCTCACATGATTCATTAAAATTAGAATTCACACCCGCCGGGCATGGCTCAGTGGTTGAGCGTCGACCTAGGATTCAAGGGATAGGGGTTCGATTCCCGGTCAGGGCACATGCCCCAGTTGTGGGCTCGATCAATGACTCTCTCATCATTGATGTTTCTATCTCTCTCTCCCTCTCCTTTCCTCTCTCTGAAATCAGTAAAGATATATTTAAAAAAAAAAAATTAGAATTCACCTTGTAACTACATGTGAGAAAATTTTTCACCGGTCCCTGCTTTCAAATTCTCCTGCCTCATATCCAGCTCGCCTCCATCCCACTTGCACAGAGGAAGTCTTTATCTTAATCACCACCCTCCAGTTCTTTGTAGTCAGCTAACAAAATACCTGTTTGCCTTGTTCCTGTGTCCCCCTACTTTCTTGCTGATCTCCTATCATCCTCTTTGAATGAGAGGCCCACCCTCCCTGTCTCCGCTTCCCATTCCGTCCCTGGCTGTTCACGGGATAGCTCTCTCTCTGGTCCTCTGCCCATCGCTCTGGCAGATGCTTCTCAGTTTCTTAGATGATTCCTCTGTCATTAATTATTCCTGTAAAATATTCATGTTTACTTTAATGACTCCAAAATCAAAGGACTATTAACCCTGACTCTTCTGGTACTTCCTGGGCTCCCCTCCCAAGTGACTGTTTATCTTCTCCAGGTGATGGCTACAGCAGACTGACACTCCTTATTCTTAAATTAACCTTAGTAACTCTTCCTTCTGACTCAAACTCATTTCTCTTCCAGCATTCCTGTTGTTAATGGCATCACAATGCAAGTTACCCACATCCCCACACTGGGAATTACACTCAGCTTTTTCTCTCTCATTTGTTGTATCAATCATCCAATCTTTCCTTGTTTACCTTCCAGAAATTCAAAGGATCCATCTCTATCTCTGTTCCCACTTCTACTGTTTTGGTTAAAGCCTTAATAATATCTCTTTGTGAATGAAAAGTTTTCCTGCTTGGTAACCCAACCTCCCTGATGTCCATAATCCAAGTCTTAAAAGGTGATTTTTTAATAACAGTTCAAAGATGTTTTCATTGCTCCTCATGTCAAGCAAAATAAAATACAGATTTCTTAACAGAGCCTACACGAACCTTTCCATCCTGTATTTTCACCTTCGGAAAGTAGAGTTCCATGGCGGTAGAGCACAATGGCCTTGGCATCAGGCTGACCTGATTTAAGAGCTGGCTGTCACTTACTCGCTGCTTAACTTTGGAACTAAGCCAAAGTTTACATTCCCAAGCCCTTAGTGTCCTTATTCTTAAAATTGGAATTATAATCATGGGCTGGTGCCAGTAATAATGAAGATTATTATGTGAAGTTCCTGGTAAGCTAATTGATGTATAGTAAGTGTTAAATAAAGGATATTATTATTGCTTCTCCATCCATGATAACTTTACATGCAAATCACCATCCAATAATAGTAAATGTCATGCAGATTTTTTTCAAATTTTATATCTTTGTATTCGCTGTCATGCATGCCCTTCTTTTATCTGTTTAATGAGCACTAATTGGTCATTTGAGACTCAACTCAAACATTCTTTTCTCTAAGGCACCTTCTCTGAACCTTATCCTCTAATTCTCTCCTAGGCAGAACTGCGGACTCCCTCAGCGCCCCCACCCGCGTTGCCATTGATTATATTTACATGAGAAAGAGAAAGGATAGCATTTATTTCCACCACATTGTTATTTTGTGTTCACATGCCTGTCTCCCTTACAAAAGTTTCAACTATCTTTTTTTGTTGTTAATTTTATTATTATTATTTTTTAATCCTCACCTGAGGATATTTTTTCCATTCTTTTCAGAGAGAGTGGAAGGGAGGGAGAGAGAGAGAAGCATTGATGTGAGAGAGGCACATTGGGCCTGGGATCGAGTCTGCAACCGAGGTACATGCCCTTGACCAGAATCAAACCCGGGACCCTTCAGTCCGAGGGCCGGTGCACTAACCACTGAGCAAAACCGACTAGGGCTGAGCTTTTTTATACTTACCTGTTTACCTTGAATACCTAAATCAGTTTTATTAGTAGGCGTTCAGTAATCGTTTTTTAAATATATATATATATATCTTTATTGATTTCAGAGAGAGGAAGGGGGATGGAGAGAGAGAGATAGAAACATCAATGATGAAAGAGTCACTGATCCGCTGCCTCCTGCCCACACCCTGCTGGGGATCGAGCCCCCAACCCCGGCATGTGCCCTGACCAGGAATCAAACCAAGATCTCCAGGATCATAGGTCGATGTTCAACCGCTGAGCCACTCTGGCCAAGTTCAGTAATTGTTTTTAAATTAAAAGAAAGACAGGAAAAAAAGCACCATTCTGCTCTGAAAAAAAAAAAAAATCAGTATAAATAGAATTAAATGAATGTTTATATGTATATGTCAAACATGCAAACCACTGTGCATTCACCAAAATGTCTCAAACCACTGTTGTTTATTAAACACATTTTTGGGGAGGTAGAACATGACAGTAAAAGAAAGTTAGGACATTCAAAAGAGAATAGACCTTAGAACAACTATTTACTGAACATTTATTATATATCGTATACCGTGCTAGGGGCTGGGTGTACAATGCTAAACTTTATAAATATGAGATAATAGCTAAGTCCTTAAGCCTTATATTCTTTAGTTTTCTAAACTCTAAATTGAGAACAATTTATGT